ATATATATATATATATATATATGTGTGTGTGTGTGTGTGTGTGTGTGTGTGTGTGTGTTTGTCTGCCTAAGGATAGCCAAACGAAGGTTTTGGAACCGTGGTGGATAAAACAGCATCTCTTCGCCATGGTAACAACATGCTACTAAAGCAGCTCTTCTTCTTCTTGCTTCTCTAGCGCAGCTCAACCAGGCGTTACCTCCTTTTTTCGTAGGTGGGAATTATTTAAGTGAGTGACATTGTGACTCCACAATATCTGGAAGAATCACGCTGTAGTGAGAATGAGCTGTATGTTGTAGTTCTTGAAAAGTATTATCTGTTGAAGAGAATATCTCCTTTTAGAGTGGACTTTGAGCTTTGTAACCTTACAGATATTTTTATTCTCAAACAGCAACATTACACACTTCCTAAAGCTGAAAAAGTGGACCCCTTTAATAATAATGTCTGTCCTACTTTCTCCATGTTACCTCTCCCTGACTGGACAAACCAAATTTCTGATCACTCGGCAAGGCTTCATTTGATGTGTAAATGTGGATGGTCATGTGTTTATGCAGACGTTTTCAGAGGGAAAGAGAAATTAGCTCTTACCTTTTATTCAAAGGGTATTCCATTTTTGAACTGCTGTTTGCACTGGAGGGACTAGTGGACTAACCCCAAAAGTGGAGGACCCCAAAATTTGTCTAGAGACTACTCAGTACCACCTGTAAGGGAAACGGGTCAATTTAGCTCAAAGGGAATCATTTACGATTTTATAGGGAATTTGGACAGAATCACTGTTTTACGGCTGATCACTGAGTCGGCTAGCGATTAATTGCAACCATCAATCACTTAATTTGGTTAAAATGAGGTTAAAATTTATATTAAATGCACCAGTTCAGCTAGAATCTGGAGGTACTTGAGTTGCCTGTGTAGGGGGGTTCCCTTTGCTGAAGATGCGGAGTTGTGGGCTGGTTGAAGTTTTGAGGAGGTCACAGACTCTAGGTGAACTCGGAGACAAAACTTAACTCAGAACACGAAACTCTCAATGGAAAAGAAAACAAATTAAAGTAGAAGAATGGAAGTAATGAGACTAGTTGGGTTTTCTCTTCATGCTTTTAGAGCTGGCGTGTAAGCCAGAGCACGCTCAAGGAGCACTAAAAAGCAGCGTCAAAACGCGGTGGCAAAAAGGCTAGAAGCTAAAAGCTAAAAAGCATGACTAAAGGCTTGAAGCATAATTTGATGGTGCCCTGAGTATTTAAACTGGGCTTTTGGTAGTGCTGGGCGGTATACCGGTTCATACCGAATACCGGTGCTTATTTTTGTTATGATATGAATTTTTAAAATACCGCAATACCGGTGTATGTCGCTTAAACAACGTTAGCCGCTCTTTAGTGTAGATGCATGCTGATTTTATCAGACGATGCCGCGATTATAAATGAGAGTGACTCCTGGTTAACATTAATTAAAAGGGGTCGTGTTTAGTCACTATAGTGTGTTATTTTTTGACAATATTCACTCATCATGACAGTAAAATAGGGCATTCTAAGTCAATATACTGCAGTATTTCCTCTCTCAATCAGTAAAAAATATGGTTAACACACGGTCATGCATGAAAAAAAAATACCGTCATGTACCGTGAAACCGGTATAATTTTGAAAAATACCGTGATATAAATTTTTGGTCATACCGCCCAGCACTAGCTTTTGGACACATCCCAAATGGTGACTTGACCAATTAGATATTGTCTTTGCTCGGGGTGTTGTATGTTTCTCCTCCCAATACATAAATCAACATGTCATCTCATCAGTCACATGGTCTGAATTTTCCTGCTCTTGCAGAGTATAATTTTGGACACGATTTCTATACCAAGAATATGATACATTTGACAAAGAATTGATTGGAAGAAATGTTTCAAGCAAGAAGATTCAAACACACACATACTAAACATGAATATGAACCCTTAAGCTATTCAATAGTTATTAAAAAGACAATAAGTGATTAGAACATGATCTACATCTGTGTCTCAGGCTGTAGGCTGCCTATCTTACCCTATGTTCAGAGTGCAGGCAAAAGTGGCCCAAATCCATATGTGACTCAGATCTGTTGGTTTCATAACAGTGTGAACAGCACAAACCACATACGATTTGATCTGTACGATTCTGTTTTGGTCCACTTCCATATGTGGTCTTAAATCTGATACAGGTCTGATGTTTTGAAATGAGACCTCAGTCTAAATAGTCATAGTGGAATTCATGCAACTTTTACATCACTCTATATAAACCATTGTCAAAATTCTGTGGTGATAGGAGTTCGAACAATCATTCAGATTGGATGGATCTCAGCAATAAATCAGAGTTAAGCACTGTAAGGCTTGCAATGTGAATGCAGTATGCTTTTTAATGTTGTGTGTCAAAATGTTTTGCAGCACTGATGCCCCTTTTGGATTTATGCACAGTTCAACCTGATGCTGTGGTGTCTTCTCACGCATTCTTTGGGCCATCAAGTCAAATCGGGTAATTTGTTCTAGCTCTTACACTCTCTTCATGTGTTTAAAAATAGTCAGATCCAAAGATTTCTGTTGACAGAACTGTTGCAGCATGTATGAATGTGATGCAGTTGTATTTATTTCTGCTGCACCTTTTAGGCAGCCTCCTGCACTCTCAGAGTTAGTGTCCCTATATGTGGGCCGCTGTCACAGCCTGTGGAAAGAGGCTGGATTGATGCTGTGGTTGGAGGAGAATGTCAGAAAAGTGCTAAAGAGGGTTGACTCGCACGATCCTTATTTGGAGGACTGCCAAAATAAGTAAGAAACCATTGAATACAGATGTTACTTTTTTCTGTCTGAATTTGTTGATTTTGAAAGAATCCTATTATGCCCCTTTTTACAAAATGTAATATAAGCCGTTTGTTTTTTTTTTTGTCAGCCGAACCCCTTTGGTCTAAATTTACTTGAAATAATCTCTGAGATTTAAAGTAAATATTTCAAATTTCAACAGCACATTTACATGTTTACTTCAAAAACACACACACACACACATACACATATATATACAGTGGGTACGGAAAGTATTCAGACCCCCTTAAATTTTTCACTCTTTGTTATATTGCAGCCATTT